TCTCTCTCTCTCTCTCTCTCTCTCTCTCTCTCTCTCTCTCTCTCTCTCTTCCTCGACTTTAACCAATCACTGCGGTAATAGCGGTATTGTTGTTTTACTTTCCTTTTATCCTTTGAGATGTTGTCTTCGCGGCACCTGACTCTTCGCCGGTCTCCGATATCTTTCGGTTTTTGTTCAGGTCTCCCTTCACGTCTTTCCTGGCCGCATCGTGGAATGATTCTGTAAACCCAAACATTGATAGCAACAGCCGAGTTCGGCACGACAACCATTTCTTATTATACGAGAGTTAAATATCCGTTATCTAAATGTCATTTAAACGACGGTCGTCGGCGAGGGCGGTGTCGTATGATGGTCTCCTCCGGTCCCGCGTTGTCTTTCAACTCCTTCTCCTCCGAGTCGGTGAGCTTGGGGACACTCTTTGGGACGCGATGACCAGTTTTCACTTTTTCGATCTTAGTTTCGCTAAATTTTCCTAAACATTGCGCGAACGAATGCCGACCTCGCGTTCGCTAAACACGGTATCCGCGATACAAAACGTTGGACGCGCGCAAAATTAGGCGGACGAAGACACTCGCTCCTTGTGACGGGCGCCTTCTGGGCCGCCACATCACAAATTATATAATTCAAAATAGCGGATCCTATCGGATGGCAACTTGATCAGTCAAAATAATTTTATCTCGCACTTTGCCAAACCGAGGAGGAGGTGACAAGAATCTATTCCCATTTCCTTCTTTCATGTTATTTATTATTTTTTGTATTTTTATTTTTTATATTTTTATTTTTCTTATTTTTTGTACTTTTATTTTTTCTTATTTTTTGTACTTTTATTTTATATTTTATATTTTTGTACTTTTATTTTATATTTTATATTTTTGTACTTTTATTTTATTTTTTATTGTTTATATTTTTATTTTTTATTATTTTTTGTATTTTTATTTTTATTGTTTTATACTTATACTTATTTATACTTATTTATATTCTTATCATCTCCAAAAGTCAAAAACATCTCTAATAACATGAATTTAACGAGTTAATTACTCGTTCTTATGAATTCAAGAATTAATTTCCACAAAATCGGCGAGTGACACAAAGGTAAGTTTATTTGTAAGATACACGTATTTTTTATATTTGCTCAATCTCACTTTTAAGGAATAAAACACTACCTGAAATGTAACTCGGTTATATTAACCACCGAGGCGCGTTGTTTACGGCTTATTTTCCAAAAATATTTATTTCGGAAACGAACTCTGTTATATATGGATGAATTTGGCGTGAAATTTTTTTTCATTTTTGTTGTAACAAAATTTTTAATTTTCAAAATTAATTGATGGTGGTGGTTATTTTGCAAACTATCAAATTATTGCAAAATTTCATTATATTAGGTGCGCAACTAAGTTCTCGCTGTTTTTTTTATGAAAATGCAACTTTATTGTGAAAAAATGGTTATAAATGAATCATTCAAAGTATTGCCCATCGCTAGCTACAACTTTTTCCCATCTTTCTGGCAGAGCTCGAATACCGTTACGGTAAAAGCGTTCGTCTTGTGAAGCTATCCACGAATCAAGCCATTTTTTGATGTCTTCATATGAGCGGAACTGCTGATCAGCCAGACCATGTGCCATCAAATGGAACAAGTAATAATCGGACGGCACAATATCTGGGGAATATGGCGGGTGGGGTAGGACTTTCCATTTGAGCATTTCCAAGTAGGTTTTAACGAGTTTGTCAACATGAGGCCGAGCGTTGTCATGCAGTAAAATCACTTTTTCGTGCCTCTGCTCATATTGTGGCCGTTTTTCGCGCAGTGCTCGGCTCAATCGCATCAATTGAATTCGATACCGTTCCCCAGTGATGGTTTCGTTCGGTTTCAACAGCTCATAATAAATAACACCGACCTGGTCCCACCAAATACACAGCATAACCTTCGCAGCGTGAATATTCGGCCGAGCCGACGACGTAGAAGCATGACCGGGCAGTCTCCATGACTTTCTTTTCTTTGGGTTGCTGTAATGAATCCATTTTTCATCGCCCGTCACGATGCGATGAAGAAAACCCTTCTTTTTTTGCCGCTGGAGCAGTTGTTCATAGGCAAAAAAACGACGCTCAACGTCCCTTGGCTTCATATCATAAGGAACCCAAGTTCCTTGCTTTTGAATCATTCCCAACGCATGCAATCGCTTGAAAATGGCTTGGCGGGTAACTCCTAATGCTGAAGCAAGCTGTTCTTGCGTTTGGCACGGATCCTCATCGAGCAATGCCTCCAATTCAGCGTCTTCGAAGGTTTTTGGCCTTCCTTCACGCGGACGGTCGTCAACATCGAAATCACCGTCTTTGAAGCGACGAAACCAATCACGGCACGTTGTTTCACTTAGAGCAGCATCTCCGTAAACTTTTTGGAGCTCTCGATGCGCTTCAGTCGCCATTTTCTTCGAATGAAATAAGAAAATCAACACTTCCCGCAAATGACGATTATTTTGCACAAAATCAGACATTTTCACACAACCAGAAGTATATGACGCCAAAACAAAATCACTAACGTGTTAAAGCGGTTTGTTTATCATATGTCTAAGCTTGGTTCATGACGTTTTGGATATGTCAAACTCGACCAGCACTTACTGCTGGAGCTATCTATTGACAAACAGCGGGAACTTAGTTGCGCACCTAATATTATATTTAAAAACGTTAATTATGATTAAACTTTTATCTAACAACTTTTTTTTAATCTCTCACGATTCCGAAGATTTCCTCAAAACGAAATATGCCAAATTATATTTCAGAGAGTGTTTTCATCTTTACATTGCTGATATAAAAAAATACGAGTCTATTATTTCTCAATTCTCTATTGTACTAAGTTTCAGTAAAATCGGTGAGTGACACAAAGGTAGGTTTACTTGTTAGTGCAACGACATATGTGTGTGTATGTGCGTGCGTGCGTGCGTGCGTGCGTGCGTGCGTGTGTGTGTGTGTGTGTGTGTGTGTGTGTGTGTGTATGTGTATGTGTATAGACCAAACATTCTCTCCAATAAGTAAAGTCAAAAGTTGGCAGTTTGTGACAGAGTGAGAAAGCTGTTTTGCATCTACTGCTTTCTCACTCTGCTTAGAGCGACTGTCAATCTTGCACTCTTTACACTGGGACTCTTTGTTCTCACTTCTTTCAGCATCCGAATAATATGCATCCATTTCGTTCTAAGTGTGAAAATTGTGAAAAGTGCAAGCAACACGGAGTTTTGCATCTACTTTTCTCACTCTATTTTAGAACGTATGTCAAGAGTCGCTATGTATATATTACAATAGTCAAGTTAAGTGTATGACAAATATATCGAAGAAAAAAGGTAAAAGATGAAGGAAATATAACTATTATTATCTTAATTATTTAATATTTATTATTCATATCTTTTATTTTAGAGTTTATAGTTAAAAGGTTAGATAAGTATTACTTTTGCTGTCATATAAGCCAAAAGTGAGAAAATAATAGACGCAAATCAAGCCAAGAATGAGAAAATAGTAGACGCAAATCAAAACTTTCTCTCTCAGTCACAAACTGTCAATTCCCTGTTTTACTCGCTGCTATAGTAAAAGTTTATGAATGCTTGGTCTAGGTATATATGTCGTTGACTTAGTGACCCATGTGCTATTAATGTGTACATACACACATTACAAATCACTAACATGTATTTTACACTGTCTTTCTGTTCTTGCCGACGATAGAATGAACAAGTGGAGGTAACGGTAAATCACTGCGAACAATGTAATGGCGTAAGTTCTCGTTAACTTCCCTTGCGCTAATCTCGCATGCGTTAGTGACGTTTTGCATCACACTGAAACTTAGTTTATTAAATAGTTAATAGTTTTAGTTGCTATGAAACTTAAGTATCAGGATGTCAAATGACGTATTAATAACGTATTGATGGGTAAGTTTTACTTGGCAATCGCGTCAATCGCGAACGTCACTCTACCTTGTTTCTCATTGGACGTTAAATAAAAACGAAATAATGTTCTATATCGTTAAATGGAACTTACTCAATGGAATCTCTAATGTTAATAATACGTCATTAATATCATTTGACATCATCATATTTAGTAGGAAGTAAATAGGTGCAAAAGGTTTTGTCGTATTTGTCAAGTGGACTTGAAAAAGGCATCTAATTTGAAAGAGTTAGAACCTATAAGAATTCAGACACAGCTGTTATAGTGCAATAAATATTAGCGACACTTCTCTCTCATTTGAGTAGATATTTTATTAATTTAACGTAACAAAGGTATCATACGCGTTTCGGTCTAAATTTACAGACCCTCCTCAGTGGTTAAAATGGAATTTTACATGGTAAATATATAAGTCATCTGTCGAAAAAGCCGCAAATACAAAGATGTCGATTCAGATGTAATAGTCGTAGACGGGGAATGGGAGGTTAAGCGAAAAAAAAATAAAAAACTAATAAACATGGCCTTAAAAAAACTGTTGAAACAAAGTGACAAGTGATGCAAATTGTCCTTGTTAGTGGCCAAGATTCGTTACTCACAGATGCACTTAATAAGGTGCCGTGATGAAAATGTCTAATAAAAATTAATATACTTAAAAGAGTAACAGAACTAAGAGTGAAAACAAGGCAAAGAATAAGCTTAAAACAAACAATTACCTAAATGTCTCGAAGAATAGAATGTTATTCAAAGATGAAATCTCAGTGTTAGGCCGATATCGATTATACCTCTAAATGTCGAGAGCGGTACAAGAATTGTGTTTATATTTAAATCGCAACAGCACAAAAACTATGTGCGATAAACAATATGCAGGAAAACTAATGTTACACAAATCCAAGCAACGCGTTATAACAGTTACCAAGATTTTCCGTGTTAATTTGCGAGTTGAAGCCGTGTTTTTTAAATTTAATAAAATCATTTCTGCAATCAACCTTTTAAAATAAAGCCGTTCTTTATTTAAAATTTTATTATCGTTCCAACAAAACTCATAATTGCAATTGCTCCTGGACAACCGAAAGATCAGAAGTTAAGTCCTTCGGTAATCGTTTATGCTTGAATATTGTATCGAGAGCCTTCTGCTTGTTTGGCCAACATATGAAGAGCTACAGTCCTTATATTTCAGCTTGTACACGTATCGGCGTTAATGCTATCCATATATCCGTATGACTCCCACACGATGACGCATCACTCACACACTGCCTGTAGGTGAGGCACGAGCAGTACAGAGTGGCGGATAGGGCTAGTGGTATACAATCGTCGGACGGCTTGGAGAGGGAATAGTGGTGGAAGTTGCGACGGTCTTCCATCCTCTATCGCAGACGTAAGAGCGAGAGAGATAGCATTATGAGACGTGGCGGCCAGAAATGTCCTAAAATACGTATGACGCACACTAAGAAAACGCTCGGCTTACACTGCTCGTCTATACGTGAGAAATACATGGTGTCCCGATGACTGTTTCGCTCGCTCAAACGTCCATGCATTTTTTTCCTGTTAGCAAGGAAATTACTGTAATGTAAAAGGAGATCTTGGGGAAGGGTTTTCAGGAGGCTTCGACAAGTGCTTCTTAATAGCTGCTCTTGAAAAAAAAAATAAATATTAGATTTATTTCAATATAGAATACTGCATCAATATAGAATACTGCAATAATACAGCGCTTGTATAGGTTGTCTAAGTAGAATATTTTTAATTTTAATGTTGCGTAACCTCCTGAAAACCCTTCCCCAAGATCTCCTTTCTGTCATCATCATCAATTCTGTATATCTTGACAGATGCGTAGTGATTACGTATGTCGGTCCTCTAGGGATTATATGGCTTCCCTTACGCTATTCTTCGACTCGTCACGGCTCTGTGCGGCTCTCACTGCCCTCTCCAAGTTGATATTTAGCAACTTCTCTACTGTGTCGATCTATCGGGTGATCTCCCTCGGCTCCTCTTTTCCGCAGGCTTCTTTTGGATCAGCAGCCTCTCCATATTATCCGCCCTTGTGATATGTCCAAAAAAGGTTAATATTTTGAAGTATACTATGTTGGAGAGTCCTTGTGAGTTGTTTACCTCTGCAAGAATGGATGCATTCGTCCATTTCGCCGTCCATGGTATGCGGAGCATTCTCTGCCAACACCATCTTTCGAACGCGTTTATCTTCCTTCTATCTGCTGCGCGGATTGTCCAAGTCTTGGAAGCGTAGTTGAATACTGAAAACACGAGTACCCTCACCAAGTTAATTTTGATATTCTTCGTTATACTTTTGTTTCTCCATATTTTAGTGAGACTGGTTATGGTTCAGTTGGATACCCAGTGGCTGTTCAATTGGATACGTCTCCTGATTTCTTGTTCATAATTCTCACGATTGTTGATGGAACTGCCTAGGTAGACGAAATTATCAGTTACCTTATATCCCGCGATGCTCTGGATTTCACTCCTGTTGTTGTTGACTCTGTCGACAATTATTATCTTTGTTTTGGTCATATTAATCCGTAGCCCGTGTTCTGCGCTTATTCTATCCAATTTGTTTAGAATTGTGATAAGCTCTCCTTCGCTCTGTGCAATAAGCACTGTGTCATCGGCGAAGCGGAGGTTAAATATCTTGACTCCTCCTATGGGGATTCCTCCTTCCCAAACTTCCAGCACCAACCTCATGATATATTCACTATAAATGTTGGACAATCGTGGTGACAATATGGAGCCCTGTCTCATGCCTTTCTTGATGTTGCATCGTGAGGAGCAAATATCGTCCAGACGCACAACCGTCTGGCTGTTCTTGTACAGGCTTTGAATCAGTGCTATTAAATGTTTTGGGACACCCATATTAATCAAAATTGCTCAGAGCCGATGTCACTGAATGTTGTCAAAAGCCTTTTCGTAATCAACGAAACAGAGATACATGGGAATGTTAAATTCTCTTGCCTTTTCGATAAGCTAGTGCATGTTTAATATTTGTTCCCTTGTTCCTCGTCTCTTAACGAAGCCTGCCTACTCAGGAGCTATTTGCCAGTTAATATACTGGTCCAATCTGCTGTGTATTATCTACAGCAGAATTTTGCATGGAATATCAAAGCAATTAACCTATAGTTGTTACATTGTGCAATGGATCCTTTCTTATGCAGGGGTACAATAACCGAGATGGCCCAGTCTTCTGGCTATTCAGTCGTCGTCCAAATAAGCTGACATAAGTGATGTATGACCTCCACGCCCGTCCTGCCCATTTCCTTGAAAACCTCCGCGGGTATCGCATCTATGCCTGGTGCTTTGTTCCTACTTAGCCTTCTTATGGCAGCTTCAACTTCGTCTACCATAATGCTAGGTTCCATGTCATATTGAACTTCAGGGCTGTTATCTCGTTACCTAAACCACTATCATACAGTTGCTCGCAGTATTTGCGTCATTTCTCTATTATTTTGTCGAAATCCGTTATTGGGTTGTTATTTCTATCAAGTATCGCCCAACTTTTTGGTTTAAATTTACGCGTGATCTGATTTTTTAAAACAGCTCACGGGACTGCAGTTTGTCGGCATGTTTCTGTGCCTCGATACATAAGTTGTTTGCATACGCGTGATGCATATGCATTTCTATCTTGCCTGCATTTTCTTTGGATAAGGGATGAAAGACATCTGACCATGCTGCGGTCGCATTTCTGTCTAAGCTTCGATTATTCAACGCTCTTCTCTCCTCATTTAATTCTAAGGTTTCTTCCGAGATCCATGGATACTTATGCTGGCTCGGCTTTGGCTGCGTTTTTTTCGTCGCTGCGACGATGGCTCCTCCCATTTGTTTCTATAGCTCATCTGGGATATAAGTGCTTATGTATGCTATTATTGGTTTAGTTTCTCTTCCATCTTGTTCTTCAGAGCATCCGCGTCGCTTATCGGAGGAAACTTTTGAATGGTAGCTCTTTTTACTCGATAGAGTTTAGCCTTATATTTTAATCGTAGCAACTTATGGTCGCTACTGCAGTCTACGCCTGGCAAGATCTTGACAGATCGGATAGATGTATGCTAGCGACTCTGGATTAGCACATAATCGATTTGATCTCTTTTTACATTACAGTAATTTTCTAGCTAATAAGAAAAAATACATGGACGTTTGAGCGAGCAAAACAGTCATCGGGCACCGTGTATTCCTCACGTATAGACGAGACAGTGTAAGTCGAGCGTTTTCTTAGTGTGCGTCACACATATTTTAGGACAGCATTTTTGGCCGCACGTCTCATAATACTATCTCTCTCGCTCTTACGTCTACGATAGAGAATAGAAAATCGTCGCGACTTCCACCATTATTCCCTCTCCAAGCCGTCCGACAATCGTATACCACTAGCCTCTTCCGCCACTCCGTGCTGCTCGTGCCTCACCTACAGGCAGCATTGTGTGAGTGACGCGTCATCGTGTAGGAGTCACACGAATATACGGACAGCATTACCGCCGATACTTGTATACAACATTGTTCTGGAGTTTATGAGGTAACCTGTCTTTATGCACGCGAATTATACTCGAAAGTTTATTAATAATAGAAAAACATAGCGTAATATTATTATTTTTAAAAATATTGCCAAGTTTATCAGAGATCCTTTCCAAATAAGGAATGGCATTAAATGATCTTTTGGAGTTGAAGAATCTTCAACAGCCTTCGGCAAATTAATTTTGTTAATTAGTTCGGATAAACTCCTGTTGATGATTCTAAAAATAAGTTCAATAGGATAATCATTTCGTACTAGTGTGCGGATAACAAAATCAAAATTTTGAGATGATAAGAAGAATGGCTCAACAAAATCATTTTATCAAACA